AATGATCGAAGACTACAACGTCGTAATATGAGCAAGCTCATAGTCAGGTCTGCGTGACAACGCATCAGCCAAAGCATTTTACTTGCCCGGTTTATATTTTACCTCGAAGTTATATTCAGCAAAGAATGACAGCCATCTGGCCATTCTCTGCGAGAGATGCGGCGACTGAGTCGCAGTGCGTAACGACGCATGATCGGTATAGATCACAGAAGGCTTTGAGCCCAGCAGATGAACTCTAAATGTGACTAGAGCATACTTCATTGCAAGTAGCTCTCTGTCATGAACGGGATAGTTCTTTCTGTAGCTTTCAGCTGGCGGGACTCAAAAGCGATCACACGCTCACGGCCTTCATCATCTGTCTGTAACAGAGCACTGCCAATGGCAAAATCCGACGCGTCACAGACGACGCTAAACGGTCGGTCAGGATCCGGCAAAGCCAAAATGGGAGCATTAAGAAGGCTAGCCTTCACCGCTTGAAAAGCATCCTCATGTTTGGCATGCCAACACCATTCCACATCCTTTTTAAGGAGATTGGATAATGGCCGAGCCATATCAGCGTAATTCTCGCTGTACTTGTGTAAGTAATTGGCAAGGCCAAGCCATTTACGCAAGTCCTTCTGCGACTGTGGAACAGGCCAATCGACTATGGCTTTGACCTTAGCGGGATCCGCTCTGAGGCCTCGCTTCCCAATGAAGCACCCTAAAAAGGCAATTTCTTCGGCTCCGAAGATGCACTTAGATGCATCAGCATATAGCGTATTAGAGCGCATGCACTCGAGCACCGCTCGTAAATGAACAATATGGTTCTCGGTATCCGACCGTCCATGTTCAGCACGACTATGGACAAAAATGTCATCAAAGTACGTCTGTGCATAATTTCGATGGGGTCGAAACAATTGCGTCACTAAACAATTAAATGTAGCCGGAGCATTTGACAGCCCCTGGGGCATAACCAACCACTTCCAGAGCATACCGCTCGGAGTACTAACAGCAGTGAGAAAAATATCGCTAGCTCGCATAAGCAATTGGCAATGACCATCGACTAAGTCAAGCGCATTGTACATGATACAACCGACCATATTGTTCTGAAGAACATCCTTTCTAGGTATTGGCGTCTGTGCAGGTATCGTGGCTGCATTGAGCTTATTATAAGCATAATCGATGCGCCATTTACCATTTGGTTTCTTAACACAGAAAGTGGGTGTCGAGTGCGGAGATTTACTCTCACGCACCATGCCCGCCGCGTGCTTTGCACGAAAGAACTCGTCAATGACGTCACACTGTTCTTTGGGTAAAGGCCACTGCCGTGTTACGCAGTATTTGGTTCCAGGAATCAAGTCAATTTCATGACGTACACCCCTATCAGGTGGTAGAACCGACGGTGGATCGTGACACACCACGTCCTGGAATTCCCTAACTAAAGAATAGTAGGGATCGGAAGGGTCCTTAAGAATAGATGCCCCACTACGTGCACTTAGTGCCGCTTTTGTATCTTCAAGGACTGTCTCATCGACAAGCGAGGATGAGTTCATCTTGAGGTTAGGTCGAATGACCACCATATCGGATAGAGCACCAGCCTTCAAGGCCTGATGAAATTCATCCACAGATATTTCGTCTAGCTATAAGAGAGCATTTAATGATGGGAGGGCCTCAAGGTCAACCTCACCATCTATATCACCTGTCACTCCGTTGACCAGGGTGTGTAGCTGGTCACTGAAATGACTACGCGATAAAACAGACGCTTCGCCTCTCGCAGCCGCCATCTGGCGACGCTGCCGTCTCATTGACGAGACCGTACTCTTCAAAGTACTTGGGATATTATCATCCCCAAGGTCAACAGACCCCTTGTCATTTACCTGCCCTATGCGAGGGCCGATGTCATTACCGACACCCAGTGGGTCACTAGTACCAGTGACTTCACTAACAAAGTCATCGACCTTCACTTGCTCTATACGAGAGCCGATGTGATTATCGACATCCAGTGAAACGCTACTACAGCCAATATCACTAACAAGGTCATCGACCTTCAATTGCTCTATACGAGAGCCGATGTCATTATCAACATCCAGTAAATCGCTACTACAGCCAATATCACTAACAAGGTCATCGACCTTCAATTGCTCTATACGAGAGCCGATGTCATTATCAACATCCAGTAAATCGCTACTACAGCCAATATCACTAACAAGGTCATCGACCTTCACGTGCTCTATACGAGAGCCGATGTCATTACGGACATCCCGTGTCTCAATATTACTATGAGTTACACTCAACGGAGTACGTGCCGTTCCACTAGGTGTCACTGAGCTCTGCTCGACACTATCATTGTTGACATTGGAGTTTATTAACTCAGACACTGTAATATCCAGCACACTAACTGATTCAGTTAATGGCTCGCGCCAATAGCTTCTTAGCGAAGGTGGGTTCATGACTCTCCAAAGCTTCGCTAGGAACATTGCGCGTTGCGCCTAAGGTTTTGGATCTCCAATCGATCCATGGCTCATGGTGTTCCAGCCAGGCCATACCGAGAATGAGATCATATCTCGAGTCCAAATCTAGAACAATACAGCGTTCAACGCTATTGAAGTCTAAAAACTTCACACCTAAGTTCAACGGAACTTTAGGAATGGTGACACGTACACCTGTTGCGAGGCGCACGGTTATACTGTCACCCTCTTGCGCCTCAAGCGCCTCAGCATACAGCTGACTCCCTTCAAGGGAACGACGTCGGGCATAATTACCTGATGCCCCTGAGTCAATTAAAAATTGACCATAGTTTCTCAAAACCCTTAACGGTTGCCGACACAACCAACAAGCCTGGCTTGTAATCTTGTTCCATGGAAGCATCCACAGAACCACCCGGGGCTAAGCCCTGTTTACCTTTACCTCCTAAAGGTTCAACAGAACTTAGTTCTTTTCCAGTAGGGCGACCCGCGCTTACTGGGAGCTGACGTTTTCCCCTGCGGTGCTCGCCTTTTGGCTAGGAGAAGGGTTCCGGCTCTGCCAATTTGAATGTTTCTTTCGCAACGGGCAGCTAGGGCGGAGATGCCTAGTGCTTCTGCACATGTAACATCTACGGATGTTACCTTGCTGCTCAGCAGCTTGAAGCTCAGCTTCTTCAGCATGGCTGAGGTCCATGGGTTCCGCCCTGTAAGAGGTATTTGATTGATACCATGGCAGACCATATCGAGCAAATTTGAAATCAAATTCATCGTTAAACGCTATGCTTACTGCCTCTTCGAAAGTCGAAGGCTGGACACGAAAAGTTCTGTCCTGTCGACCCCAGTACGAAGTCCTTCCATAAAAATGGTTACTCAGACTTCTTCTGCCAGAAGGTCCTGCTGAATAGCAGCAATGAGAGTTCTCAACTCTTGGACATAGTCCGACAATTCTTTCTTACCCTGTCGGGTAGCTAAGAAGCGTGAGCGCACACGATAAGCCTGATTAGGCGGTGCAAACACGCAAGTTAATTGCTTTTTAAGCATTTCCCATGTGGGAAATGCGGCATTTACAGAGACATCGCTCGTTAGAGCCCACTCTCTAGCTCTTCCACCGAGCTTCGTAATGGCCAAGCCAACTCGTTGCTTATCTGACACAAGCACGACGGCATACATTGCCATTTCAACTTCTCGGATCCAGAGGAGAATATTTTCCCACCTTCCCCTCAAAGGTCTTTACGTTTAAAATGAGTGGGCGAGCCTTTGGCTCTGCATCGGGCACAGGTACCGGGATGTACTGTGTAGGCGCAGATGACGCTGCGTGGTCGTGGACCTGCCCGAGTAGCGTTGCTTCATAACGCATAAAGGCCTCAAAACGAGCTTTTAAAACCTCCGGGTTTGGGCCAAAAGGGCCTCGATTTGATCGGGCCTAACGAACGCAGATATCTAAGGCGAGTCGTTGCGCCTCAGAGAGGTTATTTTGATTCTCCATCCTCACAGAGGGTCAGTCTTTAAAGACTCAGGTGTAGGATTGACTACAAGTGCTACCAGTGTAGCGGAGCTGCACAGCTCTTTAGCCAGGGGAAGACTTTAGGCTTCAAGCCTCTTAGTTCTCGAGAACTAAATAAATTTACGGCTAAGAGCCACTTAGTTCTAAGGAACTAATTAAACGACTTAAAGTCACCCTGTTCTAAGGAACGAGGAGAGACTTTTAGACAGCAAGCAATAAGCTTAAGGTTCAGAGAACCAACGCACAGAGTGCAAGAGAAGCTAGAAGCTTAGGGGTTCAGAGAACCAACGCACGAAGTGCACAAGAGAACAAGTCAGAACGACTTGCGATCTTAAACTCAAAATGAGAACTGATTTTATTTATGCTTTAAGATTTTATGAATAGTCCTACTCTAAGTACCCTACACTAGATTAGTTACTATTATATTAATTATAATATGCAGACTTTGCCATTGGACGACGTATCGTCAAACATATGTGTATGATGTACTTAGTACAGCGTTCTCGATTATCGAATCTCAATCGATAGGATACGGTATCACCGAATACCGTACCTTTAACGCTCATACTTAATACCTCTCTAAAGAGAAGTATCAAGAATGCATTATATGCAATAAAGGGAAACTTTAACCGTAAACTTTCGGAATGATGTTACAACCGTCGTGTAACCCCGTTACATAGTTTACAACTCTTTATGTTTGTTGTGCGGGTATAAATGAGTATTACCCACGGGTATGAGTCCAAGTCGTGGGTAATGAAATCTGAACGCGTCGGAGTCGTGGGCTCACGCCATTACCCAACCCAGACGCATAGGTACATGGTCTACTCAGGACTGAAATTTTTTAGCAATTTAGACAAGTTATCACTTAAGGCAGTGTCATTTTATAGCTATGAAACATGTGATATAATTGGTTGAAAACGCTCTATTCGTTTTATCCACTTATTCAAACGCTGTCCTAGCATTTAACAGTATAACGAAAAGGAGACCTCTAACCGCAACTTTATCACCACCTAAATATTCAGCAAAAAGGCGTGACTACACGTTTACACACAATGGCTGTAATGGACGAAGATTGGGAAGAATGGACACCCGAGAAAGGTTCCTTTATAAACCACATGTTGGCAGGTTCAGTTGCTGGTGTTGCTGAGCACGTATCAATTTTTCCTATCGATACAGTTAAAGTGCGTGTTATTAAGCCTGTTAACTAGTTGAATAACCGATATTATTTAATAACCTATCATCTTGTATACCTCTTTTATGTTAAAACACTAGACACATATGCAGTGTCAACAATGTCCTGTTAACGGCAAACCATTGACAATGACAGCAATGCAAACAGCACATTATCTCATAGCAAAAGAAGGACCAGTTCGACTCTTTCGAGGAGTTAGCACCATGCTTGGGGCTAGTTTACCAGCTCATGCTATCTACTTTTCAATATTTGAAACAGCTAAGAAGGCATTGGGTGCTGATACAAACACATTGACACCCATGGCCTCGGGTTCAGCAGGTGTTGTTGCAACTGTGTGTCATGACTTGATTATGACTCCAATGGATGTATGTAGCCATGTGTTTGAAACTATATTGATATTTAAGTGTTGGTATTCAACTGACGCATTTTTGTTCTCTTTGTGCTTCCTGTAATGTTATACGTTTATGTCTCTTTTTCTAGGTTGTCAAACAGCGTCTACAATTAGGATACTATAATGGAGTTGCAGATTGTTTTAAGATGGTGAGAAAATCTCGGTTTGGACTGGATTTTACTTAAGATCAGCTGAGATTTTTACTGATTAATGCATTGTGTTGCATTTTGTCAGGTGATGAAACATGAAGGATTGCGTGCTCTTTATATTAGCTTTCCCACGACGCTCTTGATGAACTTGCCATACAGGTTAGTACATGCACGTGGTATTTCCGTTGCTGTAGATTTTTTAAGATGACGTTATGCTTTGAGGTTTCTGACTGTGCTGATGGTAGTATGATAATGGTGTCAGCCAACGAGAGTTTTAAGAAGATTTTGAACCCATCGGGAGAAATGAATGTCTCAGCTTATGTCGCCTCTGGTGCTGCTGCTGGAGCATTGGTAAGTTTTTTTGCTGCGCAAAATAACAAGGTACTGGCGCAATTGTCTGACCTACAGCTGCGTGTATTGTTTGTTACCACTGATAGGCTGGAGGGCTGACAAACCCATTGGATGTGGCCAAGACACGGTTGCAAACTCAGTCAATGATCATTGCTGAGGAAGCCTCGGTAGGAATTCGTGCATCACGCACAAAGACGGCTTTGATGTCGCCTCGCTTCCCGAAACCCGAGCTAAAGGTTTTATGCGTCCCGCTTAGGGCCTCTCTTGCTTACTTGCCTGCTGTTTATTTGCTATAATATTCACAGTGTCCATCTCGTACCCGTTGTGCGCAGCTCCAGACGCGTGGCGTATCCATCACAGTTCCCTCTTCGTGTTCGATCAATGGCCGCCCTGGGGTACGTGGACGAATATACGTCGCCCTCAATGAGTATTTTGCAAGAAACGCTAACCTTGTGAAAATTTGTGCTTGTATCTAGGGTGAACGTGTGGAACCGGTTTTGCGCCGTCAGTATGCTGGCCTAATGGACGCGCTAGTTCAAATTAAGGCGCAGGAGGGCTTTTCGGGCTTTTTTCGAGGCATTTACCCGCGTCTTCTAGTGCACGCGCCTTCCGTGGCGGTGTCTTGGACGACTTTTGAAGTATTAAAGAAGACCCTCGACCGTCTGAATGCCGACGACGATTAGTACCAACGTTCTGTCCATTTGAACTATCTACATGCAACGCGAAGCTTATATCCTGAACTGCGTCGAGGAGGTACAGGCAGGAGCCCGAAGACTGGGAAGGCATACAGAGAATTATTCCGAATCTTGCACCAAGCCGCTGGGCATTTGACCAAAAGGGGAAATACATAGAGTTACAACGAAACAGAGTTGTCGAGTCTATTCTTTCGAGCTTCCTGAACGCCCCAGTTGAAAGCATCTCCATTCACACTTTTGCTCCTGGTACGTCAAGCTTAGGTAAATGAGACGCTTTCTAATTGTTTGCATTATTATCAGGCGGTGTTGTTTGCGATCTCATGTATTTTGCTTAGGACTTAAACATTATGGTGGAGTTCTTCTGATTATGCAGTATCGACTCGAACACATTTCGACCATATGCGTTCGGAAACTCGAACGTTGACACTTTATAGTTCCCGCTATAGCCGCTTAGCATCGATCTCATAAGTCTCAGCTTCCCGAAATCGGCAACACGGCAAATTTCATTCCGTCGCCTTTCGACGACAACATCGCGCCTCGATTTTTTCTTTGCTTAGCGCAACTGATGTTCACCAAGACCTAGGTACGAAGAAGCGTGAAGTGAGATTTCAGGGCAGAGCAGAAGCTGTCATAATGTGGAAAGTGACGTATTTCTTAAGACGTCCATGCAGTCTGCGTTTAAAAGGAGAGACCCGGCAACGTGTGCATCATATGTGTGCTTCAATACTGGATCAATAAACCAGTCATGGATCTTTTGTACGTGGAGCTGGGCAACATCCTCAAGGGTCTGAGTGCTGGAAAGCTCGAAACACCAGAAAGCGGGCGTTGATTTTGCTAGCCTCATCTCCGGCAAGTGACGCTGGCACGAAAAGGTAGCTGGCGGTACAGCGATTAAAGCATTCTCTAGCTCGAGACCGAGTACACAGCTGATGCAAGGAAGACAACGTAAATTGTGAAATGCCCCTACCTGGCAAAAAGCTATCCCTAGCACCGGCGATACTACTTTGAACCTATCAACGCGAAAATGTCAACCTGGAATTGGATATGGTCAGGTACATGGTCAAAGAAGTATTGGGCAAAAAACTACTGCGCAGTACCGAGTTCCTGGAAAATCGAGTGCCATCGCATCAGCCGTTCTTCCTGGCACATCATTGAGCTCTTGCGTTTGTCAAGCGAGAAATGGAAGCCAGCTCGGGCACCATGAGGTGGTGTGATATTTACGACACAACACAATGAGTTGTTCTCGAGAGAAACTCGTGTCCAATTGCTCATATTGCTTCGACCAAATAAGGTTCCCCACCTCTGTCGCCGAGTGCATTTTTCCGGTAGGCAAAAGTCCATACGTACATGCAGTTCAAAGTGATCGAGCTAACGCCAAGGTCAAAATCAATTAAACACGAAAACGGAGCTTTCGTACTTGATGCCACTCATGAAATTACGGGTCTTGGCAATTCGCGTTGGGTCCTCTTCAGTACCATTAACTACACATGCCGTAAGATACCGGACGATCGGACCCCATAATGTTACAAGAAAAATAGCAACCTGAATCATAGGTCGTCTACAAAAGCTGTGGCACGAGGCTAGTCCGACCGTCAAGATATTGTGGCTTCGCGTTCTCCGCATCTGTCGGACCAGACGATTCCACATTAGCTCGACACAATGGGCATGAACGCTCGTGGTCGAACCACTCGGTCACACATTCTTCGCAAAACATATGCGAGCAAGCAAGCTTAACAGGACGTTTCATGGACTCGTAGCATATAGAGCAGTCAGGGGACCCTGCCTCCACCAGCTCATCTAGCGAGACATATATCCCGAACTCCAGCCCCAACGTAACGAAAGAACGTACCAGTCTAAAGATACGTCTGCCCTGACTAGCGAGAATTAAGCCCTGCATCACAGATTGCCAGCACACCGGTCAATTAGTTGCAATTGCATGTATGGTCATCGAGCAGCCACGTAACGATTGCGTACCTTGATAAAGAGGTAGGCAAAAGTGAACACGTCTGCCATAAACTTCGAGGCACAAAGCTGGTAAAAACTGCACCACGGGATACTGGCAAGAAGAGACCGCAAGAAAATAGAGCACATCTCAATGATCCCATATAGCTTTCGCTGTTACAAAAGCAATAATAACGATAATGAATAAGGCTGTCTGCACATGCGACTATGTAGGCTAACGTCGTACCTTTCGTCTGTAGAAGGCGACCGTCGAAACAGCTGGCTGAGTAAGTGGTGCCGCCATTGTAGTGCTATCAGTTTCTTCGTCCGCTATCACTACGGCTGGAGACTCGTCCGCATTTGTTGTCAATTCATCCCTAAACTTTCTTTTACACTGGAAGCGGTCAGATTTCGCACCAGCTACCAAGGCTTTTACAACGACACTCCATATTCGAATCAGGAAATCTAAAAAAGCGGCATTTCAACATATATATTAGTCAACACCTTCGATTGCAACCTTACCGATGTAGAACGTACCGTTCACAAGCACCGTCCAAAGCACCTGCCAAAAGATACCACCAGTTGAGAAAAGCTCGCTTGTACTGTCACTGCCATGGTCTGTTTTCAGCTGAAGTATTTGCGGAAAGTGATATACCGGATTCGGCTCGCCTTCAACGGAGCAGATCGCAACCATATCAATTGCACACATGGTAACAATACTCACGAGGTGCCACGTGCTAGCCTTATCCTTTAGTGCGACCTGTGCTCGCATGCGCTGGTCGAGTCCCATGACTGCAGCTGTGCCAACCACAAAAACCAGGATCCCGGTCGCATGTTGGTATGCAAAATAAATTAGAAAGAGTGCCACAAACGGCAAAGAATTATGGCACCGCCGGAAAAGTGCCTGCAATTCATCCATTGCTGTCTGGTCATCACTCTCTTCCGAGTCACGTCTTCCTCGTGTTGAGTTGATTTCCGCACGTAGAGTGGATGGCAAAGCCGTCTCAGCAGTTTCCGTCCCCTCTCCAGCCACTACATGTGGCTCATTTTCACTCCGTTCAAAATTCCCACTCGACGACATCGCATTGATCGACGTCTCCGAGGTCCCTTGTCCTTGGTTGTGTGATAAAACTCCTCCTTCTTCTTCGAAATCTTCTTGACTTGATAGTAGTCTCCCTGTCTCGTCTATTTCTTCAATATCTTCTACAGAGTCTTGTCTTCCTGTGGAAAACCCTCTCCAGGGCGGTATATGGGTGGTAAAACCCTGTAAAAAGTGGCCAATCCCAAGCTGCGGCAAAGCATGTAATAGTCGGGAGCTCACTGCCTCTTCATTGACAGAAATATTGGTCATTGGAGTAGTGAAAAGTCTCTGTCTTGACTCTGGAGGCTCTTCAGAGACGTTATTGGCATCATTTGAAACGTTAGAACTGCGTTCAAACATGTCTGAGAGTGCAGAATCATAGGGAACTGGTCTTTCTATGTTTCTGTCTACTATTAAGCGTTGTATTGGATTGCAAGGTCTTGGTAAGGAGTCAGAAGAAGATGGAGATATGTTCATGTTTGAGCTGATACTACGCGATACAGACGGCACTTCAGACAATACAATTAACGTGGGCGATAGCGTCTGCGTCACATGCTGCAAATCGCTGGATTGAACATTGCTGTCCGTTGCGTGGGGACCAGTAGCATCACGAGGAGATATGTCATTCTCCTGCATGATTAAGAACAGTTGAAAAAAATGGCGTTGGCCGAAGTGTAGGAAACGAATGTGATTGGTGGAAAATGTACTGGATAATTATACAAACTGCTTAGTTTTTGCGAAGACAGAGGTAATACCGGTATATGAAATGGCTACTAAATACCGGTTTGGTTGTCTAAAACGAGGTCCGTACAATATGATGTAGGTAACACCAAGCAGCAAACATACTCTTTCCAGCAACATTCCTCCCACCTCAAGCCGTCACCAATAGCTTAGCACCTCCTTCCATTCATCACTCTTAATGCGTTCCAACGATAGTCAAAAGATCATTGTAGTGGGTATTCCCAAGACATTAGATGATGCCCAATTATCGGACTTATTCAATGACTTTGGTACCGTCATTGAAGCAAAAGTGGTACTAGACACGACGTCCAATACATCACGAGGTTTTGGTTTCGTGACATTCACAGCCGCTTCATCTATGCGCAATGCCATTAAAGCAATGAATCGAAAGGTGATAGAAGGACGAACTTTAAATGTGCGACAGTTGGTGCCTAAGGAGACATTTCAAGCACAGAAGAAGGAAACGCCTGACACGAGTGAACGACCGTGTTGGCTCTTGCGTAAAGGCAAATGCACGGAAGGGGCCAATTGTCCCTTTTCCCATGATATTAAGGACGGAGAGTTTGGCAATTGCTTTGAATTTGTACAAACGGGAGAGTGTAAACATGGAAACAAGTGTAAATTCTCTCATCCAGTCGATCGAGATGAAAATGAAGTTGAGATGGAAAGGAAGAAAAAAGAGAGAATAAATGGAGATAAACGTGTGTGTTATAGTTTCCAAAATGGACGTTGTCATCGCGGTAAAAAGTGTCTCTATGTGCATGAGATGCTGGTTGGTGGAGACGTCGAGAGTGCCAAAAACGAGAAGAATAAGAAGGAAGAGGTCACGAGACAGACTGAAAGTGGAAACAAGCGGAAACGACTGGAGGAGAAAAAAGATAAAGAGGTGGCGGCACAAGTGGCGGTACAAGTGAAGACAGAAAAGAAGATGTTGAAAGTGGTGACGAAGAAAATTGAAGGTGTGGCACCGAAGTTTGAGTGGAAGGCTAAAGCACAAACTGGTGAGCCTAAAGAGGAACTCAAACAGGATCAAGGTCGTGAGCTGCAAGGTGAAGAGCCTCAGCAGCATTGGCCGAAAACGATGAAGATGGACAAGGTTGACATGGGTGCCACGTTTGATGGTGTCTCGGACGACGAGGCACGTCCGAGACATGGTAGTAAAAAGAAAAAGGTAGACAAGGAGACGATGCGTGCGAACCGCGAGAAGTTGATACAGGAAAGACGTGCGAAGCGTAACGCGAAGAAGATGGCATTGTCGAAGTTGCGTGTTCAGGGCGAAGTCGAGCTGCTTGCTTGATTGATTGGCAGTTGCCTACCGTACATGAACTGCGCTTTTTGAATTGACCTTCGTACATTTTTGCCAAACGAATATTTGTTATGCACTCCGTATCCGTTTAGTAGCAGGTTTTGTTGAATGCCCACCCACTAATGGAGCAAAACCTAGAACTTCCATTAGATTTTCGGGAGCACTACCAACTGGTAAAGCAGCCCGCTGTATTCAGTGTCACTGCTTTTGCGATGACCAGTAAGTGATCTTATCAATGCAAGAATGCCCTTCATTTTACATGTCATTGCCATGACTATGATGTTTACCATTGGTGCTACAGACCTGTATGACCCATAAGCTCTAGTGTCTTGATCAGTAAGTTGTCTAAGGCATTGGCCGCTTCGAACTGCCCTTGCCAAGTCCATGTTGATCTTCTCAATACATTGCAACTATCTTCGTTTTCATAAAGATTTCGTACACACGTGTCGACCTTCAACGCTACTATCCCGTACATGTCGATCGTTCTACTTTCGTCTAGGTCACTTCAACGCGTCCTGCTGATTTGGTCCGGAGAAAGCCGATAAATTGGTCACTCTTGTGGACAGGGACACAGACCGTAAACGCCGCTTCTTCAGCATATTCTTGCGATACAAGCTCAGCATTAAATTGGTCACACGCTCGTTTGACGATATCAACAAACGAATATGCGGTTTGAACGTGAAGCAATCGTGTAGGCACCTTTTCAACTATCTCTGCCTGCTCGATCACCTCTTGTGCTGCAGCTCCGTACGCTCGGATGAGACCACCAGACCCGAGCTTGACGCCGCCAAAAATCCTTGTGACCACCACACAGACATCCACCAATTGAGCTCGCTGTATTGCAGCAAGGATGGGACGACCAGCGGTCCCGTGTGGCTCTCTATCGTCTGAGCACAATTCACATCCATTCATCGTCGTATAGGCGTAACAATGGTGATTAGCAGCCGGAAACTTGCAGCGTTGAATTTCAATGAATTGTGCTATCAATTCAGAAACTGTACTATTATCTTCTGATGCTAGTGGCCATGCTGCTGAGATAAAGCGAGAGCCCTTACGCTTCGTGATCTCGAGCTGCACAGCACGGCTGATGGTCTTCCAGGTAGTCATATGTGCGTGCTGCAACTTTATATCGAAGCAGACCATCTGCTTTATGGGCTTGAGTTGCTGCAGCAGACCAAAGTCTCAGTTATTACTACAAAATGACAGTGAAAATGTTGTCCGCCAATTGAAATGTGTCCGTCTTTCATTTAAATATGGTTATAACGGTCATATGATAAGGTAAGATGGATTACAAATACAAAATAGTAGAGACAAGTAAAAAAAATAGTAGAAATGAGCTCTAAAAATGCATGAATGTTGTTTCTGTATGGCTTCGGACTGTAGGAATCTAATCGTATGTTGTTAATTTGTTGTTGCTATTGTCTGTAGCTGGTTGAACAGTGCAAATATATTCATTCTTAGACAATAAGAATCCGATTGTTTTGGTGAGTTTCCAGGACTTTAGACGTGGGAAAAGTGACTTCTTCATTGTGACATGGCAAGGGAATAAAACTTTGCTTCCATCTCTTCTGCTTAATTCACACTATGATGTGGTACCTGTAGTTCAGAAAACATTAAGCTGTACGATTCGTTTAAGATACACTGAAGTGGGAGCTGCAACCTTTACTTTATTATAAGGGATGCTGATTGTGTTTTGTTGTTGTAGCCGACAGTACTGGAGGACGGTATGATGTGCAGCCGTGGAATACAGGACATGAAGAGCGTTAGTGTCAGTACTGTGCCGGATGAAGATTGGTGTCGATGGCTTGGAAGCATTCCTCGTCAGTGAACAGTATAAACCCATTCAGTCGGTGGCATTTGCGTTTGACGAAGACCTTGTCAATTTGAATGACGCGTTCACGGTTTTTTATGGTGAGCGCGTGCCCTAGTGGTTTTGCGTAGAGGCTAAGAGATCTACCGGTCATGGAAGCCGATGCATCAAAAACACGGCGACGTCGAAGATCATTGACATTTGCAACAAGGTCAGCATCTTTGTTGTGGTCTCGTCTTGCTAAGAGCTCCGTGTTTTAAAACGAATAGTGTGATACAGGCCTTGACTATTTCGCTCGAAGCAGGAGGCTCTATTAAGGATAGACACTGGCTGCAAGCACGGCGACATAAAGAAACGGAACTTTGGCGACGTGATCACGTTTGACCCTGACCATGCTGCAGAGTGGTGTGTCCCAGGACGGTACGCCCTCAATGTTATTGCAACGGATACCGTTGCTAGCTTTGATGTTTGTATTCTTCCCCAACATGGACCTGACGAAGTTCAAGATCTGTCTACTTGTGAGAGTTTGAACAAATGGGTGGTATTAAATACTGGCGAACTAGATTGGGCGAGTTGCTGGCGATGCTGGATGAGCAATTCTCTGCTGAAGGGCTTCATGGGAGTTTGTGTCATGGTGGGAGAACGCACTGCTGCTTGAGCATTTCACGATGTCGTTGAACGAAGGTAATATTCGGTGGAAGCATATGAGGTAAGCTGTCATGAGTTGTAGCGCAACTTCAATGAGCAGATGAAGCTGACGGGAGCTATTGGTGTGCAGAAAAATGGTGTCTCTATTGACACCAAAGTGTTTTTAGCTGAAACGGGCAGCCGAATTCTTCCTCAACTTGGCATTCCCTGCTCTTGAGTTCTCGCCAATGAACAAGAAGAGAAATTCATCTTTACGTGCACAACGAGTGTTTTGCACAAGGACATTCTTCTGCGTGACATTGACGTGTAGACGTTGTTCCGCCACGTCTTCACATATACTGAGGCAAACTAGTTGATGAGTTGCAGTAAGTCAAGTTACGAACAATTGCAAAGTGCTGCTTTGTTACATAGAGACAAGTTGAGAATGATTAGCATCACGACTTGACTTGACATCCCTATTTAAACCAGTACGATCCCTTGTTTGTGCATTGATCATTCATTTTACATTTACTATAGAGATGGCTGTATGGAAAGACCCCGTTGATAGATTTATCGAATTCCTTCGCTTTCGTACAGTCAGTGCTGAGGGCCCCGACGGAAGCTACAAAGAGGTAGTTTACACGTAAAGCTCAAAGTATCGTATACAAGTTGGTCATCATTGAATTTGGTGTTGTCTCTTGGTTAAGTGTGCGGAATGGCTGCGTGCGTATCTCGAAGAATGTGAGGATAGAATTTTTGCAAAGGTGTTGTGTAGATACAAGACTTAACCAGATACATTGCTACTTTAGTGGGACTGTCGGTTCAAGTGATTTCACCCTTTGAGAACAAACCTCTTGTACTGGTGCGTGGTCCGATGCTGTTTTGACTTTGAATGGTTGGACGGTTGACAAACGAACGAGTGGTGCAAATTACAGGCGACATGGCAAGGTGAAGACCCAACACTACCTGGAATCATTTTGAATTCGCACTACGACGTCGTGCCTGCAATGTCTGAACACTGGATCGATGATCCTTTCGAGGTACGGCACAAGATGTCTTGTCTTTCGTTGCAGGCTCATGGGCCTTACAACAACTTGTCAATGCAAATACTCTTGGCTAGGCCAAGATCATGGAGGATGGTCGTATCTACGGCCGTGGGACTCAAGACATGAAGAGCGTTTGCATTCAGTATGTGGAAGCAGTCTACATCCTCATCTCTTCTGGTTTCACGCCCAAACGCAACATTTACTTGCTTTTTGTGCCCGACGAAGAAGCTGGAGGTGCTCAGGGAATGGGGACGTTTATCACGACAGACCACTTCGAGGCCATTCAGCCTATTGCGTTTGCATTTGACGAAGGTCTTGCCAACCCAGGTGATGCTTACACTGTGTTTTATGGTGAGCGAGCGCCGTGGTGGGTTTATGTGACAGCACAAGGACCCAGCGGCCACGGCAGTCGATTTATCAAAAACACGGCCACTTCGAAGATTGTTGACATCTGCAACAAAGCGTTGGCTTTCCGTGACGAGCAAGAAAAAGCCCTTGGCGCCGATGTCGGGTGCAAGCACGGCGACATGAAGAAGAAAAAACTCGGTGACGTGACTACTATCAACATTACTGCGCTGCAGAGTGGTGTTTCACGTGACGGCGGCAAGACCCATGCTCTTAATGTGATTCCAACGGAGGCCATTGCTGGCTTTGACATTCGTATTTCGCCTGCAATCGATATCGATGCAATGGGAAAAATGCTTGATAAATGGTGTGCCGCCGAGGGCGTTTCCTGGGAGTTTGCTTCGTGGACAGAGCCATTTCACCAGCACTACATCACATCGCTCGATAAGGACAATGTCTGGTGGCAGCTTTTCCAGAAGTCATGTGCGCGAATCGGCGAAAAGTTGGAGACTGAAATCTTTCCTGCAGCCACTGATAGTCGCTATCTCCGCAAGGCTGGTATCCAGGCAATCGGCTTCTCGCCTATGAAGCAAACAGAGATTCTGCTGCATGAGCACAACGAGTATCTGCACAAGGACACTTTTCTGCATGGAATCAAAGTGTACGAGGCTATTTTTCGAGACATGTTTGCCTACGTGTAGGCAAAAGAAGACAAGAACGTGAGGACATCTTTCACTTTGCCGACTCGTGTGCTATGTTTGCAAGAGCAAAAATATGTGATGAGCCTTTTACGGCGACGAGTAAGGCTAATAAAGACCGTCATACATTGAACTCTCGTCGGCCTTAAACGATCTTTGTCACAGCTCCCAATCGAGGCTTGTCGTAAATCACCATAGGTATACATCTTGACAGAGAAGACCGAGCTGGGGCATCGATTACATAAGCTATCGCAGATGGGTGTCAAGCAAAATAGCTTCAAAACCATGAGCCATCATTGTTGTCTACTTGTTAAAATTGTCAGATCGCTTCAATGTAGGCGTCCAACACACTTGAGTAATAGTTCCACCGCTGCAGCATAGGCAGCAATCTGCAATGCAACAACTCTATTTCATTGCTGATTTGATTTCTTACTTGTTTGGCCCCACAACACCCCCTTGTTTTGAAGACCACAGCCAAACTTCTGTTTCCAACTATGGTGCCACCAACTACTAAGTTACTTTGATAAATAGAACGTCCAGTAGTTTGCAATTGCTTTGTTTGGCTGCTTCATTGTCTTGCAGGTCCATATTCCATCGTGTTTAAAGATCTGGTGTAAGCACTGGAATGTAACACGTAAACGATCCAAACCCGTCCACAAGAATAGAGTGCAGTACCATCGCTCTATTCTCTGTAATACAGCACAATACCGAGTCTGTTGACTGTCCATCCAGTACAACTGCTTTGCTCAGCACTTTACTGTCAACAGTAACACTCGATGAATGTTCATGTCTTGATCTTTCTCCCTCCTCTTCTCCATCTTCATCCACCAAGTCCTCACGATATCTCAAATGTGCAAACAACGTCTGTAGTGTAACTGGAAGGGTATCAATACGTAAAATAAGTGTACCCATCTTGCTAATTTCCACCGTCAAGGTCTTGTGCATGACCTTAAGTCTATCTACGATGCTCCGTAGAGCTCTCAATGGCGGCATTTCAATTGCAATTTGTGGTGCAGGTACACTAGGCTCTTTGTAATGTTCTACAGTGCTCATAGCCATCACTGTAATAGGAATACTCTGTACAATATCAATATCCACCGCTCGTGTCCTAAGACACAAAAAGTTGTTGCCATCTCGTTTAAGAAGCCGTAACATGACAGCACTTGCATCTTTGCCTGAAGATAAAGCTTGTTGAAAATGACGTACATCACATAGAAAATAAATGTGATTATTAGCCTGAGAGTGGACTACATAATCATGAAAAAGTCGCCTCGTTTGAAGTCGTGCAAAGCTCTGAAGTTCCTCAGTACCACCGCATTTCAATGCAATGGAGAGCGTCTCGGGTGTCAAAGTGAAGACACAATTGGTCTTGGCATTATTCTGAGACCCGAGACGAGCAAAAGATTGTGCTACATCCAATAGCACAGCCAGCGCATCCTTTGCCAACGTCCCACGGAAACGCATGAGTTACTCGGTATTGTTGAATGAATAAATGAATCGATGTGATTGGATATTAATATCATGTAGCCATATCTAGCGTGGATTAATATAGACTGTAGCCATAGTATATGTATATGCTACATTATGCATGTAGCCATGGAAATGCTACTCCCTACAGCACCGTATGGGTGGACATGTACATGAAATGCAACAGCTGGATCAGATTACTAAAGATTCAATAGGTAGCTCATGCCACATAAGGAGGCACAAAACTAGTGAGGTTGGTGTAGAATAATTGTCCAGCAGTGTGATGACGAGAGCTAATGGCGTAGTGCTCTAAAGAGCAAAATCACGAAAATAATGACACAAATAAATACATGCAGCGAATCTTCGTTGTCAAACAATGATTCTCGTTCTTTCCCACGCACTTTGGTCACTGATAGACCAGCACAAAGGTCAAAAAGACTGCTTCTGTATGAACCGCCTTTGAACACGAAGACCAATGCTTCATCTCCGCGACCTTGCAAGATTCTCTTTTACTAAGCAGCAGTACGCAGTAGCTACTACACGTATTGCATACTCAGCACAGGTGTTTTCTCTTTCAGTCCCCCCTTACAATGAGAAAGTAGTGCCTTGAATCTTCTCATCAAGATTCCGAGGGACATGATAGTGTCAAAATTCCACACAATTGGCTCGCCAAAACCAACCGGTGATCAAACTACGTCGTCCCAGTCATTATCACACGCTACACAACCATTTTGTACCACTCACTTCTTTGTAACGACCAAAAGTCCGCCACAAAAAACATTCGATGCTTCCTCACACATCGTGGACTCGACCCCAGATACAGTCGTCATTTCCAGATATGAATACGCTGCAGAGTCACGCAGTATATTTCAGCCAATCAAATTGAGTTAGTTAAATTAAAAACTAGGCTATCTTGCTAACCAGCCAAATTTAGGAAATAGTGATTGGTCAGAATGGCAAATCGGATCATCTTATTGAAATTACAAAAAAAAACTCGAAACGTCACAGTTTAGTGGGGGATGATTAGTGCCGTTTCACATTATTGTTGGTATCAAATTAGAAAAAACATGGGTGGAAGTACCGCAACGTCTACGGATTCGACAAGCATGTCGCGTGGAACAAAGCGTAGCATTGAACAAGTTAGTGATAGTCTACTATGTAACAGCCTCAAGGATTTCATGACTAGAAAACCCGAGAATGTTCTTCTTACAGTACAGTGCAAATTCTTTATCAGTTTGTGACTATTGCAATAATTTAATGAATCTTTTCGTTTGAAATAGGATCTTCGTGGTATATTGATGGACCATTTGCTGGAAAATATACCGACGGATATCAAGTATACGGTACTATTTGTATGCGAGGAGGTGCCAGATCTACGACAGAAAGAGGTTACGTTGGCAAAGAAGACAGATGTGGCTATAGAGATCCCTCTGTTGAATGGTTTGGAGGAAGACTACCAGTTCCATTGTCGACTATCTGAAGGTGACAGTATTCCACACTGTGACGCCACGCTACTCAAGATTCCAATGTCTAAGCATGATATTGAAAGGGAGAAGCATGCGGTTAAAAAGGCTATGAAGAAAAAGATTAAGAAGTTTAAGAAGAGCACGGGCGGTATGTTGCAAAATTTTGTACAGGGTGTAGATAGTTATGATACTGACATTGTGTGTCAATTGCTAACAGAATATACCAGACCTAGTGCAGAATTCTACGTGCTGTCTGCAGAAGAGCTGAAGGTACATTTGCCGTCGATTCCGTTTGAAGACGCGAAAGCTGCGGCAAATTTCGTTTCGACAAAGGCACTGCTGAATGGTGAAACAAGATCAGCTGAACAGCTCTTGCTAGCTCTTGACTGCGAGATGTGTCGTACCACAAAAGGCGTCGAGCTTACGCGCGTCACACTGATAGACGCTAGTGAAAAGGTTCTGTTGGATGAGTATGTGCGACCGAAGAACCCTATTGTTGACTATTGCACACAATATTCAGGCATCACGTGTGAGATCATGGAGGGTACAATCATGCGGCTTGCAGATATCCAGGAGAAGTTCTTAGCTCTTGTTCCTGCAGAAGCCATCCTGGTTGGTCATTCAATTGAGAATGATCTTCAAGCACTGCAGGTGCTGCACCGACGGGTCATTGATACTGCGTGCATGTATCCACATCCTAAAGGACCCCCATTTCGCTCCGCTTTAAGATTTTTGACGAACCGGTTTCTTCGCCGTGCAATCCAGACAGGCACGGACGGTCATTGCAGTGTGGAGGACGCTGTAGCAACATTACAATTGGCACAGCTTAAGATTAAGCACGGTCCCACGTTTCCAAGCATCGAACACGAATACAAGCAGAAGAAGGTGGTGAACGAGATGGCCATGGCTAAAAAATCGGTCCTGATTGTCGACTCGCAACGTTCGTGCAGGTCCCTAAGTGGTGGCGTTGCGTGCATTATTCCACGTGAAGATCCTAGCGAGGTTGTGCAGACAGTCGTGCATCAATTAACGACGGGCTTTCCTCCGCATCTTACGTGGGCCCGCGTACGTGGAGTCAAGCGTTCAGAGGTTGAGGCGTATGTGCAGCAGATTAAAGCTAATCTGCCTGAGCACTCATGCCTCGTAACAGTGCTTAGTGGTGATACTAACAACCTGCGCGAGCTTCATAAACGCCGCACAGCACGAACTGATCCAAGGAGCTCACTTATGTGGGACAAGAAGCAGCAAGAGTTTTTGGATGCGGCGGCATTAGCAGCTCAGACAGGGCTTGTACATATTTGCGTGCGATAATGCAACAGCCATTCATTATACAGCTACCAGTAGGCAGATCACGTTTAATTTTGATATGATCAGGACGCAAAAGCTTTGGTCACGACAGACGAATTGACAAGATAACGGCACGAACACAAGACATCAGAAATGGGACATAATTTATTGTTATAGTACAGTGTCGTGTATACAAGTTCTTCCCTGGCATTTTTTGGATATCAAGTCGAACACGCGATTGCTTCCTCGGAGGTATACACTCCACGTCAGTCTGCGTTCATGCGTTTGCATTGTTAGAGAATTGCCAGAAGTTTTGGGGCAGATCCACTGTGGTAATTGATGGAGTGTCTTGAGTACTTCTCATTGGCTTTTTGGTGGGCTCAAGTGGCATCTTTCTGGGCTATTGAAGTTGAGAGAATGGTTGGGTGGAACTGGCTGACTTGATGTCGAAGTTGACATCTTGAATAAATAGGCGATGGTCACTGAACTCCTCTTGCTCACCGACACGTAGCGCTTGTGCATTGTGCAGGTTCAGAAAGGGTTTCTATCTGTCTAATGGGTCTTCACTGACTCACCACTTGAGTTCTGAGATCTCTGCAATACTATTGAGGATGTTGGCAGGTAGTGCCACGATGGCGCGTCGACGGCCAACGGCTCCCAGTCGCACCAGCTCCTTTTTATTTTCATTGTTCACTAAGCTGGAGCTGGAGCTGTCGTAGTTGCTGTTGTTGTCAATGCTTGTTGTGGGCTCGACTTGGATGTGCACCTTGGCATATAGCATCTCGGACTCACACGGTTCAAACGGGGCGGTGATCATAGTAATTTAGGCTTTGGCTGAGGAGTGTAATTGAAAACTGATCGTTTGCCATGGGGGTGGCGTGCTCGTGGGGTCGTGAAAAGTACGCTATGTCAGTGTAACGGACGAGCAGGACGTGGCGAATGAGGTGCTGTTGTTCGAATGATGGCAAGCCAGGAGAGTACAGTGAGAAAACGACTGGTACTGTCTTATCGCCAGCGTAATGGAGGGAATTGCCTGGGGAGTCGCATACTTGGCTTGATACTAAGCAGCTCCATTACACCAACGTAAGAGTAAACGCAGCCGTTACGGGATAAGATTGCGTGCTTTGGATCCGCTGGCGACCTTCAGATCTTGCTGACGAATGCCGCCGGTAGTTTCAGAACACAAATCGCAACGCGTTTTGCTACTGTGACACCTTGAATGGAAAACGACTGGCGCATGTCTGGCCGCATGAGCGACATATACATTCTCACCTAGAAAAAGGCAAGCCACAATCACAATGACTAATGACGAAGACCACATTCATGGCCAGTCTTCGTCGCTTCAAAGATTGAAGCAGACGCTAGTACTGCTAGTCTGCGACGGACTTTTGTAGTACGGCAATGTAGTAATAGCATATTTATTCCATGTTAGTTTGCTGCCAAAGTACAATTACTCTAGTAAATGGTCGAGCGGCACCACCACGAAACACCGAGCAAAACTGTAGCATTGAAAGTCTACTGGCGTACCCTCAGTTATAAGAGTCTATCGATTTGTTGTAGCAGTTTCTAGCGACCTTTATGAATCGGTTCGTAGAGCGTGTAGGGAGTGTGCATCTGTTACATGATAATGAGAATGATGATTTATGCGTTTGCGTACGTCTAACTTCTGTTACACACATGCAAAGAATTATTTCAGGCGATCGTTACTAACGAAAACCAACTGAGTTATTCGCTGTATTAATGTGTAAAAAATACACTTCATTTCGAAACAAAGTGTTCGTGACGACCTCTCATTATTTGTAAAATCAAATAGAAACGAACAAACCTTCACAATAAAATCCACAATTAAAAATGGCTACAAACATATGCAACAAGCAAATTGACAACTGTATACATTATACAATCGTAGTCATGACTGGGAGTCGTTGGCCGTCGGTGCGCCGTCGTGGTACTGTCTGCCAGCATTCTCACTAGAATTACAGAGATTACAGAGCTTAAGAATCCGATCAGCTAATTGATAGATACCGTACGCATTCTTGACACATAATGCAGATAGAAACCCCTTCTGATCATGCAGAATATACTAGCACGATGTATATCGGGCTAGAGAAGTTCAAGGACCATCACTTATTTATTCAAGATACGATTTATCTCAACTATCGACGTTATTGTCAACACTCAGCCATTCCGTCAACTTCAATGAACCCAAGAGATGCCATAAGAGCCCACATTAAAGCTGATAAAAACGTCTGTTAAAGACCCAAGACACTTAAATGGTAGATGCACCTCATCAGCTTTCGTGGCAATTTTCTAACAAAGCAAATGCATAAACGCAGGCTAACGTACGACTCGTCTAAACATGGCGTGGTATACATAAAGTGTAGGGCAAACGTCTAATCAACCTTCAAGAAGCAATCAAACGTTTGACTTGATATCTCAAAAATACATAGGCAATAATGTACAGCACATCCTACACCTCTAACAACAAATAATATCTCAATTCGAATGTCTTTTTGTTCATATCGTTATCGACAACGTTGCGATTCAATCCAGCAGCTCAAATTGGAATCTGCGTTAGAACCCATAGGTACATTTTGACCGAAACGATCTACCTCGTCCGTTTATGATGCTATACTCAAGCTCCTTGCGTGTAACATCCGCATTGGCCTCTCGCCGTGCCTTGTATGTCCCACGTACCATGTCATCATTGCCTTCATTTGCTACCGTTGATCCCAACTTTAGTGGTGCCAATCCTACCGATGGCTTTAATTTGGGTACGTCATCCGTAATAACCTCTTTCTTTTTATCGTACCACTTAGCTATTATCTTCTCCTTTTGTTCTCATAGTCAATGGCAAATGGACTAAATCTGTCAAGAAAGAAACAATCCTTGACCCACTAAATGGTGAGGCTTTCATGACGATGCCACTCACTCAAAAAGATGAGCTTGCACCCTTTGTGGAAAGCATGTTAAGCTGTCCCAAGCACGGTCTCCACAACCCTTTGAAGAATGTCGATCGTTACGTTCTATACGGTCAAATCTGTGCCAAAGCCGGTGCTTTATTCCGTCAGGAGAAGGTCGCTGATTACTTTTCTAAATTGGTGCAACGGACGTCACCTAAGAGCTATTTCCAGGCTCGTAATGAGGTGAAAGTGACGGGGAAATTCCTCGAGAACTTTTCAGGAGACCAAGTGCGTTTCCTCGCACGCTCATTCGGTGTCTCAGGTGATCATCAGGGTCAGGAGAGCCGTGGCTATCGCTGGCCATATGGTCCTGTCGTGCTGATTACACCTTTTAATTTTCCCATTGAGATCCCAGTACTACAGATGATGGGTGCTTTGTTCATGGGCAATAAAGTGCTACTTAAAGTGGACTCGAAGGTGTCGATTGTCATGCAGGAAACCCTCCGTCTGCTTCATGCATGTGGTATGCCATTGACTGATGTGGATTTCATTAATTCGGACGGGGCGGTGATGAACGATCTACTTTTGCAGATCAAGCCACGTAACACGCTATTTACTGGGTATGTGGTTGAGGATATTATTTCGTATACCGAAGCTGACTCAGAGCTGTGTGTACATCTACTGATTGCAGATCGCAAGCTGTCGCCGAAAAACTTGCAAAGGACCTGTGTGGTCGAATCAAGCTGGAGGATGCTGGCTTTGACTGGAAGGTGCTTGGCCCGGATGTTCGCGATTTCGACTACGTCGCTTGGACTTGTGACCAGGTACGTTTATACATTGACCATATAGTTGCAGAAATATTCCTACTTACGATATGTTACACCATTTTAGGACGCATATGCTTGTTCTGGACAAAAGTGCTCGGCGCAGTCTGTTCTATTCATGCACAAGAACTGGACGGAATCTGGCTTGGAAAAGAAACTTGCCGAACTCGCTTCCCGACGAAAGCTGTCGGACTTGACGGTTGGCCCCGTGTTGACGGTCACCACGAAACGTATGCTTGACCACGCTGCGGCTCTGTTGAAGATCCCGGGTGCTCGTGTCGCATTTGGAGCTGAAGAGCTTGGTATGCCTGTGCATCTGTCATGAGTGACTGTCGAATGTCTTGCTAATGCATTTCTGTTTATGCAATGCAGAGAACCATTCGATCCCCGAGAAATATGGTGCCGTCAAGCCCACTGCTATCTTTGTTCCGCTTAAGGAGTTTGTCAAGCCTGACAATTTTGAGCTTGTAACGACGGAGATTTTTGGCCCATTCCAGGTGGTGACCGAGTACGATGACAGCGAGTTGCCTCAAGTCTTGGATGCTCTGGAGCGCATGAACGCTCACTTGACTGCTGCTGTGGTCTCGAATGACCAGGATTTTGTAAGTGAAGTGCTGTCAGCTACGGTGAACGGCACGACTTACAGTGGCATCCGTGCGAGAACTACGGGTGCGCCTCAGAACCATTGGTTTGGCCCTGCCGGTGACCCGTGTGCTGGTGGTATTGGCACGCCGGAGGCGATCAAGCTTGTGTGGTCGTGCCACCGTGAGATCATCAGCGATGTAGGTCCCGTGCCTGTTAACTGGACGATCCCCGAGGCTACTTAAAGCGTTTGCGGTACTGGAATGGAAGCGACTAAACGGGTTTCACACCCAACACTATCGCCATATTTTAATATTGCGTAGACTCAAACGTACCACCAGCGATTATGTCCCATTTCTATTGATCCTGTGACTATCTACTAGAAGTACTCATGTAAGATAGCTGAAGCAAAGTGAGCATACAATTAAGCATAAACAAATCTAGTAACGATGGAGGGCGCATCGAATTTACAATTCTTCCAGCTCCCAAGCTGAAGCCTGGCTCGCTTCCGTCTCAGCCATAATCTTCGGCGTGTGGTCATCCTCCTTCATGGCCAAGTCATCAAGCAGCTCGTGCAATTCCACAGCTGGAGCACCCATATCGTCCTCCTCCATAGCGTTGGCATTCGTGATCTGCTTCGTCTCATCCTTGTACAGATTAATCTGTGCACGCATTTCCTTGTCCTCCTCAAGCTCGTCCAAAAACTGCTCATAGTCCTGCTCCTCCTTCGAGAGATCAGCCTTGGATATAGGGTCAGCCTGTTCCACCCCCTCCATTTTCTTCAGCTTCCAGTTGCGTGCACGTTTTTGGATCCGACGCGGAAACGTCTTCTTCACAAGTACAATGTCTGGCATTGATACTCCGGACTGAACGAGCGGGACCAAGTCGGAGTCATTAAACACAGCAGATTCAAGGTCGTAGCCACGCACGGAATCTCCAGCATGCAAAATCATACCGAGATGACTCACAGTGTTAAGTCGTGTGTCATTGACACCGAAATCAGCATCACGCACAACTTCCATTTCAGCAAGTCGGGTCTTGCGAGTCACACGGATCGCACGACCGCCGCCAGCAGGGATCGCCATTGGATTCGAGTCAAGGACAGTGAAATCCGTCATGGCCTTAATCGATCGCAGCGCGCGGAACGGATAGCGCCAATACTTCTCAGAATCAATTTCCGCTACTTGGGTAGTGAGCGGGTCAACAACATGGATAGAGGAAGAAACGGACTGCACGAGGCACAAGCAAGACATGTTGCCCAACATACGGGCTAGCTTTACCGGCAGCACAACCAAGTCGTCCTTGCATACCGGTGCGATCTCCACTGCATATGTAAACTTGTAGTTGTGCGTATTGCTGTGATTGTCAGCAGAAATCAGCTTCTTGGCAGTTTTTAGCTTCAGCGGCACCGACTCTTGCAAAAAATCAACAAAACGTAACGCATGGTTACGCTCCGAAAAGAAAAAGTCGACACCATCCGGGTGGGACTCAATGTTTGTAGTCTTTTCATGGGCACGGTGTTTGAGGATAAGTTGCTCCAAGAAAAAGAACGTGCGCTTATGGTCCACGCGCTGACGCACTTGTACCACCGCGCGCCACGACTGGTTAGCAAACGAGGCCTGACATGCGTCACACTGCTGGTTACGCACAATAAAGGTCACGACAAACGACTGCTGCATGATCATTTTGCTCATGACCTCCTTTTGCACTGTGAGCTTGAGCTTAAGACGCCGCGAGTGGGGCTCCGTCCAGATCCAATTGGCATCAATAAGTTTGACGCGATTCAAGTTGTTGATCTTTTTCAAACACATGGCAAGCAGCTCACGACTCTCGAGATCAGCTGCGACCCAAGGCGGACGCGACCAGCGCATGCAGCCACGACACTGATGGATGATCACTTCCTTGGGAATTCCTTCCGTTACGTCCACCTGTGACTTAAGACAGCTTACACATGTATTGGCAGCATTTGCCACAATGGGCGTTGCACACATGCAACATAAACTGCCGCAACAAAACATGGGTACACAAAATGATCATCAGATGAGTATAACAAGCGTGTTTTCTAGCCGAATTTTATGACAATTCGGGCCAATAAAAAATGAAATGAAGTATATAAAGACACGTACATGATTGGCATTTGACTCGACATGATACTCATAGTATTCACGTGTAAAACAGCGACGTTATGGAGACTGGTCGACCGGCTAGAGAGCGAATGGGTAGGAAGCGTGCAGGCCAATGCAAATGATCGGTATTTTAACCAATAGGATAAATAGTTTAGTTTTAGGAAAAGTGAACATTTTCATTGGGCTAAAATATGCGCGTACCTACAGAACCAGCGAATCAGTTGGCATTTTGTCTTATATTGAAAATATGGACGGCGGAGCGACTCCAGCGGCAGGTGCAGCTGGTTCCAGTGCTACTGGCGCTATGACTAAGGACCCCGAAATCAAGTACATTTGTGGAGATTGCGGTATTGTCAATTACCTATCAGCACGTGACCCTATTCGCTGTCGCGCCTGCGGTTACCGTATCATGTACAAGGCTCGTACCAAGCGTCTCATCCAGTTTGAAGCCCGGTAAACCCGACGACAAAAGACCCAAGCAAATGTCTGCAGTGATGCCTCATTCTACTAGCAGCTACAGTGAAAGAGATTGAATACTTTGTAGAAAACATAATGGATTAGACGCGTGGTTTCCATCTAATAACAATGCTGGACTTTTGTAAGTGTCCTATTTTTCTCTATTCAGTCATCTCCTGCAGCACAAGCATCCATCGAATGCTTTACATGAACTACAGACCAGTGAATGCAAACTGCATGAGAATTGGAGATTCTTTCCAGATACGGAGTGCACGTTGTTGAATGCGCGTCGCATCGGCAAACAGCCCGAGATGTTCTGAGAGGCAACGCACGTACCGCACAAAAACTTCTTCATGCGTCGAACCAAAGAGCTCCACTAGCTTTTCGAACAGTTTCCGCACCTGCGCCACATTTACCGACGTTGCGGATGTCTCAATGTCTACGCACAACAACAGGAAGGAATACGTCTCGGAAGAAGGCAGCAATTGCTCGTCTACCATAAACTTCGTGTACAACGAGCGAACGTGCTCCAACGATCGCTGGGAAGTTGCGCTTGCAGCCCAAGTGACGTATTGATAGCGGAGGGCACTCCAATGTGCTGACCCACGTTCCTGCGCGCCTAGGGCGTTCTCGAAGGCCTTGTCAATACTGCTCGGAGTCTCTCCAATGCTAATTTGCAGTTGCAGGAGACGGTTGTGAATTGCAAACTGCGCGTCGTACTCACCAGCTGCAATTTTCGTTAATGCTGTCTTCAAGACGAAGACAGCGGCACTCATCGGATTGCTGTTCGATATAGCGTTCTTCTTATATGACCCGTGCGAGGATCGACGACGCTTAGTAGAAGGTGAGTGGCTTGTGTCCACTTCTTTGTGGTCGGCGTGAAGCATAAGCTGAGACTGCAGCAGCCAGATCTCCGCTGATTGTGGAAGGCACTCGTTGCAAAGCTTGCGCACGACCATTAGCGCATCATCTGTACCATCCGTGCGGTGAATCAAGTCGACATACTTGATGGCGAGAGACGAAGAAGTGCTTGACCCTGCGAGCGCAAATTCTTTAAGCTTAGCGCGTGCATACTCCAGCATGAACGCCGTCGGCCTGGAAGAAGCCAAACGTGTCACCATCCATTCTGCAAAGATCTCCTTAATTGAGACAGTGTCTAGTTGTGTCACACTAGTCTCAAAGTTGTGCACAACCAGCAGCTCAGCTTGACGCTCGGCCTCGCACACATCCGCACTACTACCCTCTGACTCGTCTGAATGAAGGGCTGCACTATCCATGACTTCCAGAAACGGACGCATCGCCTTTGCCGCATGCACGACTTCACTCTTTGGAAAGTTTTCAAGGCAGTCCTGCAAAATAAAGTCCGACAGATTTGCAGCCGTGTGCACGCCAAACAGGTCACGAATCTTCAAAAACTCAAGTCGAAACGTCACATCATCCGGAACAGCCACTACAGCATTCGTGTATACAATCTTAGCAATAGCTCCCTGCAGTACAACCTTTCTCGCATTCATTTTCGCTGCCACCTCGTCCGATACTTCATCCTCTTCCACCAATTTCTCTTCTGGGAGCTCGACAACCAGCACAGTAGATCCATCATTGACGACCTTCTCCACCTCCTCATCTAGACGCAGCACCTGACGACGCATCACCAACTTCTGTACGTACAGTAGTTCAAGACGAAAATACTCGAGCCAAAGCTTCTGGTTGTGCTTGTTAAGACGGATTGCACGTTGCATGAGCACACGCGCCGAGTCAACGTTAAGATTGACACCAAATTCATAAGAAGCTGCTTCGATCCACAATTGGGCATTGCGTGGATGCGATTGCAACGCTCTCGAAAAGACGGCAGAAAGTACACGACTACTGCCTTCTCGCTTGCAAAAGGCCACATACTGAAGCCAGAGCTCGACGCTTCCGCGATGCTTGAACAACACGCGGTCAAAGATGTTGTGCACTCTCTTGACACCTGCCGTGTCGCCTAGCGTGACTTTCTCAAGACCAAGTCGCTCCTTACGCGCTGCACGTAATGCGTCCAATTTAAGCTCGTATTCAATGTAGCGCATGGCGTCGATTTTACGCAATGGCACGCGTTGGAGCGAGTACTCAAAGCCACGACGTTTGTCGACAATCTGTCGAATTTCATCTGCCGAGAAGAGCTTGCGAGCCTGCAGATCTTCAAGTTCTGGTACCATCTTTTCCATCGTTATTTGCACTGTATCTGCCATACTTGTTCTGTTAAAATGTACGTATGTGTACGAGTAGCAGGTTTACAAAGGAAGGGGCTCGGGCGTAAGTAGCTCCTGGGTCTCTTTTGAAATTGATTATGAATTGATTGGGCGTGGTGTGAATCGTATTTAGTGGACACGTTCAGATTTTCTCTGTCCCATACAAAATATAAGAGACGTTTTGGACTGATTCATTCGTAGCCAAACATTAGAATGTTTCCAGAAGACCGTTTCCATCCACTACAGCCGGATACCGACCGTCTCCACGACGATCTGGTGGAAGCCACGGAATTGGAGAGTACACCTAAAACATCCAAGGAATTAGGTTCAGTGCTAGTTCTGCATCAGTTCTTGCCGGCCTGGGATATTCAGGCTTATCTGCGTGTGGCGGGTATTTGTCTGCATGTTCACAACTCCAAGTACCCGACGTATGAGGCCACCGGTACAAGAAAATACTTTTGTGTCATGTTTAAGATTGGAGATTTGGTCATAGTGACATTTGTTATGGTCTATTGTTATGAACAGGTGCATTACCTCAACTCAGTGATGGCAATTTTTTGCTGCCAAAAGAAGAGATTATCATGCACTTGCAAACAGTTCGTGATGAAAATTTCTTGTTGTTGTGGATGTTTTTGACTTTGATTGAGGTAGTTTTATGCTTTTTTTGATGCAGTTTCATAAGGACATTGATGACTTTCTGAGTGACGCGCAGCGAAGCGAGTCATACGCTTATCGATCGATGCTGTCGGAAAAGTTACAACGCGTCGTAATGTACTGTCGATGGGTGGACTCGTCCACGTACCTGGAAGTTACGCGTCCACATATGAAACGCAACATTCCATTCCCTTTGAATCTTTTCTTGCCAAAGAAGATGCATTTAGAGACGATGGAAAAGCTGCGCCTATACGGCATCTCGACCAAGGAACAGGCGTACGTCATTGCTCGTGACTGCTACACGGCACTCAATACAAAGCTTGAGAGTGCTGGCACTTGCTACTTTTTTGGAAACCAACCGAGTGCACTGGATGTAGCAGTGTTTGGCCACATTGTTGACACGCTTGGCAACTCACAATTGGCGGCTACTGTACACCAGCATGCGCCACTGCTCATCACGCTAGCGGAGCGCATCCGCGATGCGTACTTCGTTGCTCCTAATGAACAACCCACGAGTCTCAGTGAGGAGGTTGCGTACTCGGAAAACCAGGCCAATTACTTCACAACTACCTCACTAGATAGCACCTTCATGAAGAAGGTGTCAACGCCATTACGGGTGGCTTTTCTCCAGCCTTATCGAAGCCTAGACTGGGGCCGTCGAGTGCTAACATTAGAGGTTGCCGAGAAAAAGCGTGTGAAGGAAGCTGAACAGCATGCTGCTGTACATGAGGAACAAGGTAAAGCTTTTGAGAAGGGGCCTCGTAACGTTATCATCGGCGCCATTGCAGCTCTCGTCCTGTACGCTGCAGCCACGTTGCCTGTAAATGTGCAATTCGATGATGGTGATCGCGACGAGTATTACGAGGATGACAACGAAGAAGGTGATGACGAATAGGAACTTTACACATACTCGTTACTGTACCTTGTTGTGACACTGTCAATAACTCAAGAAGTCTGTGCATAATGTTACAAGGGCAAATGCTTTGGAGACTTTGACAGCTGAGTTCTGCATGCAGTATTTCCGCTGTCAAATCAATTCAATAACTTTAACTTACACGGGTGCCATGTACAAATAAAAAAGTGAGCAAGATGTCTGCTCTTTTTCTCTGCTCAAGTGGGTGAGTGCTTGGCGTATGTCATAGGTCCACAGTATCATCTGTCGTCATTCACACGAAAGCAACCAGCATCAGCTACTTGTGACTCTGCATTCGTATCTCGTACCACACGAGGTAAGACGCGTACCTCCCGAAATAATGTCGACTGTCTGGTCAAGCATCTCGTCGTCTGTTGGATCAAGAGCTGACAGTGATGGTTTCTCAAGTAGACCATCAAACCGTTGCTGATCGTCCAAGGTCGATAGATCCTGCAAGATTAATAAGCACATGCATCGAGGTAGTTAGACCACCAATCTGTAAAAAAATCTATCGAGAAATCCTGGCTCGTACGCTGACGCTGTTGAAAGGGATCATGGATTCCACCGCGCTTTTCCACCCTTTGTGCATAATTGCTTGCCGCGCTTGACGCTCCTTGTTAGCCTCCAGCTCTTTCGTGAGTAACGCTTGGCCCGGTGATGGAGCTGAGGATAGCGTCATGCCCTGCTTGTCTCGCTCCTGTAGCATTAATCGAAGTCGCTGTTGATGAAACAACTCGTAAGCGGATGCGTGGCCTTCTGTCATGATCATTTGAGACCGCGGAGTCTGTGAAGAACCCCACTCTTCCCGTGGTGTATTCAGCCCTTTTCCTCTAGCACCTGCCGCAGCAGCCGAAGAAGGTGGAAGACCAGCATTCGCCACGCTGTTTCCATTGACCGCACTACTGTTACTGTTGCCACTACTTGCAGTGAATCCATCACTAGTGGAGAGCATTGTAGGCTGCGTAGATGTCCCTGATAAAGTGGCCGTTGACATCACTCGAGGATGAAGTGGTGCGCCGCTAAAACCTTGATGCACGATAGGCGCGTGTTGTGAATACTGAACATTTGTCATTGCCATAGCCATCGCCTGGGACGAATACGTTTGTGTTGGAGGCATCAGCTGCATCGAAGATGATACCTGGATCACGCGTAGAAAGGCCAGCATTAGCTTTAAGATTAAGCCCATGAGTCTACTCCAAAAGACGTAGCTTCTATCTGATCTCACTTACTGGCATGGTCATGGACATATGCATCTGGATTTGCATCTGCATTTGATTCGATGTCGGAAAACTAGTTGGCGCCCCGTAGTTTGACATCACTCCCAAATTTTGCTGCATCGTGTATCCGGGTGGAAATTGGTACGTTGGCGGAAGTTGCTGATGTTCAATGTGCTGATGTGACGGATGCTGTGGTGGCGGCATTCGCGGCGGATGCATGGTCATGTTATAGGCCTCCATTCCTCCACTGGCCATCGCGTAAACACCAGGTGCATGTTGGTTTTCTGGCACAACAGTATTCATCAATTGATTGGTGCCTTGATACAACGCGTTGTTAGCATGCACTGTCGAGCTTGGGTGAAACCGCTGACTCATCTGAAAGTTGTGAATCGACGCAGCGACCAGGTCATTCACGTGCATCGCATTGCTCGTCCCACCCATGACTGTCGTTATATCCGGATGTGATGCGGGAGCCAACGCGTGCATACTCTTCACAAACATTGTGTTTGTCATGTTTCCAGCCGAAGTGCTCTCGCTACCGGTAATAGAAGTCGCAACTGATACAGCTTTATATTCTGGTACCGCTTCCAGCTCCGTTTTTATCGCTAAGTTTGCCACTGTTTCGGCGGCTGAAGTACGATTATTCCGTCGAGCGGGGCTGGTTTTAGAAGGTTTCGTTTTCGGTTGATCCACATCTACTGGCAACGGCGACGTTGTAATGACAGCAGTAGCAGCTGCAAGCGATGCAGGTCCAGTGCTAGAAGGTTTTCTTTCTTTAGAAGCAGCCCTCCGTCCACGCATCAGCGATTTCCAGCGAATTTTAACTGCATCTTCCGTTCGACCCTAGTCCAAAAAAATCATGATGAACAATTTCAAACATTTGTCTCCAATTGAACTCCACCAGTAGCATTTAAACCTTGAGTTGCTGTGCAATGATAGACCAACGATTGCCTAATTTGGCTTGCATCTCAACGATAATCTTGTCTTCATCGTCAGTGTAAGACCTGCGAGGCGCAAGTTATAGCACAACGCAGCCGATTATACCCGTTATTTCCATCTTTTCTACTGCAATGAAAGTAGGAAGCTTACCCCTTGTTAATATTTGGGTCCAGGTGGTTGCACCAGCGCTCTCTGCATTGCTTGGAACTAGGTTGCACAAACAATTAGCACATCATTTGTCCGTTTCATTCAGCCAATGAACTCACGTTCGCCCTGGAATGAGAGAGGCGACTTGTCCCCAATTCTTTTTGCCTTCCGCCACCAGGTCCCGCAGTTTCGCGTCTTCTTCGGGTGTCCAATGTCCCTATAAGACATTGTCGCAACCTATTAGCACTCTATCCCAATCTGAACCAATCTCCAAATTATTCACACCTTAATCAAGCCTGGCTTGAGCACCTTGGTCCACCGCTGCAAACACTGGGTGTGATTTCGTCCCGGAACCTGATCAGCAATTGCTTTCCAGTTACGTTCGCCACTTCTCTCCACTGCCAATCGCAATGACTCATCCTCGTGCTTCGACCATCGTCTCGGATTCGACTTTTCCTTGGCTGGAGGTGCTTGTTTGACAGCATTTAGTATCAAATGAGCTCGTGGGACACCCATGCCACTCCCTCTTCGATCTTTTACCATCAATTTTGCAGGTTGACCTTGTGGTCGTTGCTGTGGCCGTGGCATTTCCTGAGACGAAGGCGATGCAGTCAATTCTTCGTCGCTTCCTTGCAATGGCGACTGAGAGAAAAGCATCACCTGTTTGTGACGCTGCGAGGCTGGAGCCGGTAGCATTTTCTTTAAACTATCAGTGCGACCACGTTTCTTTGGACTCTTAGTTGATATTTTCATCGTCTGTGGACTAGCTACATCGTCGTCATTTTTGTCGTCCTTATCATCATCTTCCATCTCTTCTGACGCGTTACTTGGCACTTTTTGGGTCGCAACGGGTGACACACCACCATTTACACTAGAGATAGACGTCTGATCGAGCGCTTTGCCCAGTTCCGTCAGCTTTGCAGAGCTCACAGGTGAGTTTTCTGCAGTCGCCATCTCTTACGTCGCTTCGCACGCAGGAGGTACTATCACGTTGTCGCTATTCGTCTAGTAGATAGCAAATAAACTTTTTTTATTAATACAAGATCACGTGCTGGAGAATGAGATGAAATCAATGGGGTTACGGAGCTACCACGTACTCACTTGGGAACTGTTACTTCACCTCGCGCTGCTTGAACTTTTGTACGAAAGGGGGCGCGAACGACGAGTTGGGTCGGGGTGGTCCACGCAATCCATGTGGTACACAAGCGGTTTTGTCTTTCTTCTTGGAATTTGTATTGAAAGAATCGCGTACATTGCGACCAATCACAGTGATTTGCAATGCTGGATTAATCAGACGATAGGGATACAGATGCTATCGATGCGAACGAGCTCAGTAATTGTGCCGCCTCGCGACAACCCGCGTCCGGGTCGTGATTCTGTACTTGATGTAGCCATGGTGCCATTTCTGTAAGCGCTTTGCCCATTTCCTGTCGTAGCAGCGTTGGTGACGCAACTAGCAGCACGCGACTCAGACTGAACAACACCTGACGACGTACTTCGGCATTTGTGTTGAAGCGCTCGCTCCAGACAAATTCCAGCAGGCACTTGGCCATTGCTATTGTCTGTGGAGTGTTCCCGCTACACTCGACAAAGTTTGCGAGAGCGTGTAGCAAATGCGCCAGGAATGTTTGCTCAACTTCATTGCGGGTTTTTCCAGAGGTGCCTGATACCGTTGAATGCTTTCGCACGTACTTGACGTACCCGAACAATAAAGGCGAGAAAAATTCCAATGCGTACGGTGCAAAGGCATTTCTCTTTGGAGAGGTGAGTGGGTCGCGTCGATAACCCCATCGACGTGTTTTTAGGCTTTGCATAGTGTATGTCCCCAAGTTGCTTTCTTGGAGCAGTGTTTTGGGCGGTTGCGAACGCTGATAGCCACTACCTCTCTCGGAAAGCTCCTGAGCAGCTGATGTCATCGCCTGAAGCACGTCAATGCGGGACTGTAGCAACTGCTCTCGTTCTAGTGCCTGGCTGCACAGGTACGGCAAGGTTTGAGCCGGCGCCAGTGCACAGGTCGTAGCGAGAGCCTGTGAGCGTAGCCTGGTAAATTGAGGAGTGTTGAACTTGTCTTCAAGTCGAAGCAGTGCCCTGACAACCTCGTATGCTTTGTCGTTCAGGTCGCGTGGTCGGCGACGTAGTAGTGATTCGGTCTCGTTCAATGCAGCTTCGATCTTCTCGTGATCATCATCCGATAAAAGGCTAGCAATCAGGTCCTTCAGATACAGCGGTCGTTTGGCTGTTAAATCTTCTTCGTCATCGTGAAAGTCATACGCTTCCAGGCTCATGTCGGAATCAGAATGGGCACCGTCAAAACTAAATTCGGATTTGTCATCCCCATCGGAGGCATCGGGATCATCACTAAGCACCAGCTCGTCTGGGTCAAGCGTAAACGGTTTGTCAAAGTGCTTTTTCGAATGTTTTCGTCGACTTTGGTTCCCTTTGCTGCGAGCTATGCCGGGTGTAGACAGAGTCTCATGAGATGTTTCTTGGTTGGCGAGATCAAGTCTTACAATACCCAGTTCGAGCTCTTCAGGTAGCACGGGACACCCGTATGTTGTTAAAGGATCTTCATCCTCAAGACCAAATTCTAGCGGCTTTTCAGATGCAATTACATGCGACAAGCTTTCCCCCACCCGCATGCCTAGCACTCGTACACGCTTTAAAGAATGACTCATGTGGTCTTGGACTCCTTTGCATAATTTAGTGATCCAACTTTGCTGCGTAAATGCTGCCCCTCCGCTCTCCTCCGTAAGCTTGTGCAGACTGTAGCGAAGAAAAAAACACACCGAAGAATTCACGGTATACTCGGTGCTAACTGCAAAATCGCTTTGGCACCACCGCGCAAGTACCACGTCAAATACGGCTGCCAGCGGAGATTGGAATGGATCACCGTCACACTGCGCCAAAACGTCAACAATAACTCGCCAGAAGAAAAAGTCATCAATCGGCTTTCGAAGCAGCAACTTGCGCGTGACAACATACTGAAACTGCTTTTTAGCACACAGTGCTGGAGGGATTTGGGCAAGAAGCCTGTACTTTGGGTGAGCCAGCGCTTGTTGCACGCTCAAATAGCACGGAATCTTCAAGCTTGCAATCTGGAGCAAAATTTGCTCGTGACATGATTCTGGAAGGTGTTGGAATAATGTGCAGTTTATTTTCGTTGTCGGTGAAGTGCCGATGAAGCGCAGCCAGCTCTGGACAAGTGCTTGGGCTTGGCCGATGCGTGTCAGCTTGTCAGCAAACATCCGGAAGGTGCGCGACTGAATTACGTATGTCTCTTGCATCGAGAGACTGTGAAACAGGCCATCGCAGAGCGTCGGAAAGTATCGACGAGGGCGGAATACGGCTGGGGTGTCGTGCTGACGACGATTGAAGACAATATCTGTATGTCATTTAACGAACAAGCAATTTGATCACTGTTACGGTTTGATTGGAATGAATAAAAACTACAATACCTGGCAGGGATAAAAGCTGCGTAACAAGCACCTGGAGGCCAATCATATCCTTCACTGATTCCTAAGAAGATACAGCGAATGAATTAGTCATAGTAGAAACTCAAATAGTGTTATGCAATCAGCTATAAAACTGCACACCTGCTCTTGCACCAGCATTTCCGTCACAACGACTTCCATCCCATTGGCGACAATAGCTTTCTCCAGCAGTCGGACACACTGTACAATAGAAATCTCTGCATCCTCATCTGCCATTCGATCAGTTGCGTCTGCTCTTGTCTTGGATGCTAAAAGTTTTGCCGTCAGTACACCAATTACACGGCTTGAAGGGACAATTTGGCAGTCGAAAAAGATGTCAAACGCCTGCTTCCGGTCTCGCTCTGACAAGCAAATCTCAATGTGAATGGCCACAAAACTTAGCATAAAAGCTGCAACTTCGCTATAGAAAAATTCCAGGTATAAGTCCTACAAGGCAGTAAGTTTAAAGTGCTACATTACACCCAATAGTTACTAATTGGGCTACCTTCCACGCCGATGAAAAACGATCGGGGTTGAGCAAGGGGGAAGCGAGATTACGCATCTCTGCAACAGCAGCTGGAACATCGTAACGTCTCTCTGCAGACTCAATGCTGCGTTTCCTGGCATCGATGAACGTGCGCAAATGCTGGACTTCGACATTCCGCCTAGCTGTCATTATGTTATTATGCCCGAGGCATGCGGCCATCAAACCCGTGGGTCTCAGCAGACATGGGTTTTTAATACTTAAGAACTACTTTGTATCTAATCCAATCAAATCACTGTATATGATGCTCCAAAATTAAATGCAATAATCCTTTAAAGCAAGACTTGGAGCAAGTCTATGGTCGAAAGAATCTTACTTCAGTAAAAGGATACTTCGCCAGTTTTTTTGATAAGAGCTATTGTAATGTGAGTATCAGTAGCACTTGTGATATAAAAATTTACATGAATTGCTTCTTATGGCCTCTGATGTCCTTCTCTGCAAAATTGACGCTGGCGAAGCAGTCAAAAACAACTTTCATCACCAACGGCTTTATCTCTTGCATTAACTAAGCTATCCTTTTCTGCTACATCAAGTGCCTTAAGCGCATTTACTATAGGGAGACCGCTATGGCCACAGACGTTAATACTACGGCCACAGACAAACAACTAGGGCCACAGACAAAACTACTAGGGCCACAAACAGTGGACCCAGCCAATCACAGCTTACAAAATTCAATTATAACTATGCACTCTAGGCAATCACATTACTTTTGATTTGTACACACGAGCTTCTGCTTATTATGCGTGCGCGTCCCTGTAAGTGAAATTGTTAGAAAATGGCACGGTTGAAGTTACAGTTGAGGAAACGGCTGACGACTTAGAAAGGCGTTTGAGGATCAGTTGAGTGATTGATTGGACAGGTGCGTGGGTGGGTGATTGATTGGACAAGAGTGATGGAAAACAAGAACAACTAGTCCATCATGCTAGCACGAAAAAGATAACACTACAAACAATGTCAGAATTCTTTTATCACAGTGCCGCCGACTTCCTTTACAGCTTGCATCATAACAAGCGAACAGGTTATGAGCCCAAGACGGGAAGCAAACGACGACACCAACGCGGCACAGGCACGGCCACCATTCCGGCTCAAACGCCGATCCCGCGAAAAGATGTTTTGTTGAATTCCATGGGAAAGTCAACTATCTTTTCCACGTTGGATCTGAAGGATGGCTACTATCAAGTTCTCATGAGAGATACTGACGTAGCCAAAACGGCAGTAAGCACCCCAAGCGGTATGCTGTGGGAGTGGCTTGTGATGCCACAAGGGTTGGAAAATGCTCCAGCAACATTCAACCGAGTGGTGGCTCACGTGATGCATCAGCACCGTGCCTATGCGGCCCATTACTTTGACGACGTGTTCGTGCATAGTAGGTGTTGGCATGCTTAAGCCGTATCGGGATCCATCCCAAGTGGATACTAAGGCGCTCGCGCCTACTATGCACGAATACATCGTCAAAGTAATGGGGCGCAAAGGCACGGTGCTGACGCATCACGTGAGCCACCACATCGCGAATCTCCATGTGTGGTCCACAAGGATAACAGGATTGCGGTTTGATCTAACATATAATTACGGATCGCCTTACGTGTTTCACACGGATACCACGACCGCGGTGGGATCCAACATAAGATCGCGGATTGCCGTGTGTGGTCCACATGTATACCAAGATCGCGATGCGGTCGAGACTTGGACCACAAGTTGATTGCATTTCCTGCTTTCTTTCACTTGGGACCGGGTTTCTTGGGCTCAATCGACTTAGTCGAGAGCGATGCACCTGGTACTATGTACTCCAGCTACCCATTGACAAGGTCAAATTAATACATAGCACGCCATAGTATCAGCACTCGGTCTCCGTTCCTCTTATTCATCCATTTGAAGCACTGTGACAAGTTCGGTCACATGAAGCGGGACTACCCGCACATGAAGGGGCCTGGCAAAAATGAAGATGACGCTGTTTTCGCTGCCGGGGAGCAAATCACGGAAAGAGTCTATGAACTGTTTCAGGCTCTTTCCGTGATTTGAACTTGCGTAGTGTACAATACGCCTGGAGAACAGGTACTAAGTTTGACAGCGAAAGCTAAAAAACAAGGGACCCATACTAAGGCGCTCGCGCCGAGCTCATCGGTATCGCCACAGGACGTATCATTTGGACCAAGAGTTCAAGCTGCCCCTCCACTCGGGTTCGACTCTGCTCCAACGACTCGAGGCGAGTATTCATCTTCTGCACAGTCTCACGAAGACACTTCACCTCCTGAAGTAGCTCGGCATGAGCTTGTGCCGGTACGTCGGCCTCCTCCGGAATTGATCGATGGACAGTGAAATCTTCAGTTATATGTGGAACGTCTGTTGAAGAAGCGTCACCGACACGGCCAAAACTAGATCTGGTGAAGTGGCGAGAATACCCCAAGTCGTATAACTCGTGGGGGTTCGAGGTTCCACTACGGCAGGATTGCTCGTACGCCGTAGACGTTTTTGAACGTTGTGCGCAGGGCCAACCTGTTGGCGATGGCGCTTCTTTACAGTAGTAATGAGGGTAGGCGAGTTAGCGGCCTCTGCTGTTGTGAACTCGCGGCTACAAGCGTAACCGAAGTATTGTAATCTTGAATGGTTGGTGCACAGCGCTTTCGTTGTCTTCTTAACCGGCTTCAGGCCTTTAACTTGGCGTATTCTAAACGCATCTTGCGTTTCAGACGAGCGTCTGCTACACTGGCACTGGCGCGAAGAGCCCACATGCTGGTCAAACGCCGCACATAATGTGCCTAGTGGACAAAGGCACTATCGTTTTCATCTTCCGTTTCGCCTGCGAACAGCAAGATAGGAACCTTTTTCATGGGTGGAACAGACGCACCACGTGCTTGCCTATCCAGGCGTGTCATGTATTGGCTTGGACTGGTCTTGACAGGTTCCAGATACTTTTGGCGAAGAGATGCTCGCGCAGCGAGTTCGTCGGGCGTAGTAGCTGCAGGTTCTGTGGACCAATAAATAAGTCTAGCGAATGACCCGTGGCCTCCTTGAGATGTTCTTCAACGGATCGTGGCTCAAAGACATAGTCTCGATGCACTTGGAGTTTGGTCATGGCCTTTGCTTGGTGTGCAGAACTTGCCTTCACTTGTAACTGCTGTGCCTGTTGCTCGTCGAGCAGAATAGTGATCGGAGAACGAGGCGTTTCGCCAGGCACTGAGCGCATTGAGTTAAGCGTATCAGCAACACCACGTTCTAGGAACGGACTCGGTGTGCGTCGAGATTCGTCGTCACCCTTAGGACTGGGCTTAGACTCAATGACTTTGAGGAAGCTGGTGTCACTTCCGTAATCCACAGCTTCCTATAAATCTCCTTCAAAGAGATTATTAAGAGCCTTAGGCTCATGGTTAGGAGGTGTACACTATAAAAAGTGTTAGGTTTAATGTTCGTGTTCGTAACCTTTTTAAGAATTATGTTAAATGACGTTATGTGGTACCGTCCGTCTGGTGGGGAAAAGTGTAACGGGGTTACACGACGGTGGCAACTACATACTGAAAGTGTACGGTTGAGGTTTCTATATTGCATATAATGTATTTTTGATACTTCTCTTTAAAAGGGGTATTAAGTATAAGCGTTAAAGATACGGCATTCGGTAATATCGTATCCTATCGATTAGAGTTTGATAACTGACATCGCTGTACTGAGTACATCATACACAGATGTTTGGATGATACGTAGTTAAATAGCAAAGTCTGCGAATTATCATTACTGTTATAGTAATTAATCTAGTGTAGTGTACTTAGAGTAGGACTATTCATAAAATCTTAAAGCATAAATAAAATCAGTTCTCCTTTTCGAGTTTAAGATCGCAAGTCGTTCTGACTTGTTCTCTTGTGCACTTCGTGCGTTGGTTCTCTGAACCTCCAAGCTTCTAGCTTGTTCTTGCACTCTGTGCGTTGGTTCTCTGAACCTTAAGCTTGTTGCTTGACTGACAAAGGTCTCTTTCCAGTTCCTTAGAACAGGGTGACTTTAAGTCGTTTAATTAGTTCCTTAAAACTAAGTGGCTTTTAGCCTTAACTCTATTTAGTTCTCTAGAACTAATAGACTTTTATCCTAACGAGTCTTCCTCTGACTTAAGAGCTGTGTACCTCCGCTACACTTGGTAGTACTCGTAGTCAATCCTACACCTGAGTCTCTAAGACTGACCCTCTGTGAGGATGGAGTGTAAAACTCACCTCTATGAGGCGCAACGACTCGCATTAAATAAATTATCTGCGCTCGTTGGGTCCGATCAAATCGAGGCTCTTTTGGCCCAAGGCCTGGAGGTCCTCAATGCTCGCCTTGAGGCCTTCATGCGCTATGAGGCAACGCTACTTAGGCAGGTCCACGACCAGGAAGCGTCCGCTGCGCCTACCCAATATATCCCGGTACCTGTTCCCGATGCAGAGCCAAAGTCTCGCCTACTCGTTTTAAACGTAAAGACCTTTGAGGAGAAGGAGGGAGAAATCTTCTCCTCTGGATCCGAGAAGTTGAAATGGCAATGGATGCCTCCATGCTTGTGTCGGATAAGCAACGAGTTGGCTTGGCCATTTCGAAGCTCGGTGGAAGAGCTAGAGAGTGGGCTCTAACGAGCGATGTCTCTGTAAATGCTGCATTTCCCACATGGGAAATGCTTAAAAAGCAATTAACCTGTGTGTTTGCACCGCCTAATCAGGCTTATCGCGTGCGCTCATGCTTCTTAGCTACCCGACAGAGTAAGAAAGCATTGTCGGACTATGTCCAAGAGTTGAGAACTCTCATTGCTGCTATGCAGCAGGACCCTATGGCAGAGGAAGTTCGAGTAACCATTTTTATGGAAGGACTTTGTACTGGGGTCGTCAGAACAGAACTTTTCCGTTTCCATCCTGCGACTTTCCAAGAGGCAGTGAGCATAGCGTTTAACGCTGAGTTCAACTTCAACGCTGCCCGCTATGGTCTACCATGGTATAACTCCAATGCCCCTAATAGGGCGGAACCTATGGATCTCAGACATGCTGAAGAAGATGAGCTGCAAGTTGCGGAGCATCAAGGTAACATCCGTAGATGTTACATGTGCGGAAGCACTAGGCATCTCCGCCTTAGCTGTCCGTTGCGAAAGCAACGTCAGAACCGACAAAGCCGTAACCCTGCTCCTA